TTTTCGATTCTCTTTATATACAGAAGATCAGTTTAGCATACATTAAGTAAACGATTTCAACAGTTTGCTCCCACACAGAAACATAAAGTGAAAAATACTGTTTGAGTACTAGTTATAGCATTAAATCTCAATGTACAGCACACTAAGGACAGAGATCCTACATGAGGAGTAAGTGCACAGTGACTCCTGTTGTTTACTTAACAAATTGACACTCTTGTTTATGGCCTCAGTAATCACCCTAGGCTCTTGTCATGAGCTGCCAAGGCTATGGAAGCCCCCTGAGTTCGCTGACTCTGATCATATTTAGACAAGGCCATGGTCAAAGTGGAAGTTCTCTCCTCCCTTCAGAGAAAGGTACCTCCTTCTTTGATGACCTGTTCTTTCCACTGGGATCTCACTCGTGGAGATCTTTCATTTAGGTTTTTTTCTTTTTTTTTCCCCAGAGTGTCTTGGCTTTCCATGCCTGAAATACTCTCATGGGCTTTTCAGCCAGATCCGCATGCCTTAAGGGCTGATTCTGAGGCCAGAGTGCTATTTAGGACATCTGCCATTCTATGGGTCTGCTGTGTATCTCACTTCCCATGTTGGATCGTTCTCTCCCTTTTTTATTCTATCAGCTAGTATTTGCAGACACTATTCTTGTTTATGTGATCCCTTTGGCTCTTAGTCCTATCATTATGATCAATTGTGAACAGAAATTGATCACTGGGACTAGTGAGATGGCATTGGTACATGCCACTTTGATGGGATTGAATTGGAATCCCCTGGTATGTTTCTAACTCTACCGTTTGAGGTAAGTCAGCTTGAGCATGTCCCGCAAGCTAAGAATCTTAACCTAGCAGTTAAGACACCAGTTAAGAGGCCCACTGCCTACATTACAATACCTTCATTTGCTATCTGGGTGCAGCTCCTAAGCAAGCTTCCTGCTAATGCCCAACTGTAGGAGGTAACAGTAGTGACTCAGGTGATTGGGATCCTGCCCACCCTCTTGGGAGACCTGAACTTGATTTTTTAATTATCTATCCCCGCTTTGACTTGGCCCTTGCAGGTATTCAGGAAATGGATCAGGAGGTGAGTGTTCTCTGTGTCTGTCTATATACCTCTATCTCTCTAATAAATAAATCTTTAACAAAATCTTTGATAAGAAAAGAATCACAATTTATTTTCTAGATATTTCATCTGAAAATGAAAATTCTAGCTCTTCTTGGACTTCTGGGAACTACATTATCAGCCCCAGTAAGTAATTTGATGCTACGGCTGATCTTACCAAGTAAAATCTACAATTCCTTTGTTTACCATTTCTATTTTTCCTTTTTTGTTTTAGCTTATCCCACAACGTCTTTTGTCTGCTAGCAACAGCAATGAGGTAAGTTTAAATAATTAATGCAATCTCTAGTGAAAAGAGACAAAAGCCTTCAATAATCTTGCATCCCACCTGCTACTCTTATGTATACCTAAATTTCCAATTTTCACATTAGCTTTTCATACCAGATTACTACTAGTGTAGTATAATGCCTCCCTTGCTTGATTACAAATTCTTCAAAGGCAGAGATAATTACCTTTTCCCTCCTTTTGTTCTAATAGCACCTACTACAAGTGTCTATATCTGTTTAGAAGCACAAAATAACTAATTAAAACACGGGAATGTGCTAACGTTGTGCAATATCACACATAGCATGGAGATATTGTTAAATCCCAACCTTGTTTTTAACTGTAACCTTTAATCACTATAATTTACTGTAAGCTTAGTGAGAAAATGTCTCACTTCTAACAGGAAACTGATCAGTCAGCTTCAACTTGTGTCATATTTGTAGTAAACATTATTCTTAATCATTTTAGCGTGTGCAGTAATCTTGTTTTCACGTTGTTTCCTTTTCTAGTTACTTCTGAAACTTAACAATGCCCAACTTTTGCCACTGCAGCTCCAGGTACCTCAACCTCAATAATTAAGGAAAAATTTTTCACTGCTCATTTCTTGTGTTATTCTTTACAACAACAGCAACAAAGTGTATTCTGATTCCATTTCTGAAACACATCAATGGGAACTCAGCCATGTTTCATACTATTTACATGGCTCACAGGAGTCAAGACGTTTTTTATAACACAGCATGAAAAACACGAAGCTTGTTACATTTTGTCTCTTTCTTGCTCAAAGTTGATGTTAAAATCTTTTTGACATGAAAGAGAAATGCTTTCTTTTTTTTCCTGTGTGTCCTTGCAGGGCCCATTCAATTCATGGATTCCTCCTCTCTCTGGTGTTCTTCAACAGCAGCAGCAGGCTCAAATTCCAGGACTCCCTCAGTTCTCCTTACCAACTCTGGACCGGTTTGTTGGATTGCTCCCCAATCAGATGCCTTTCTCAGGACAGGCCAGTTTTACCCAAGGAGCCCAGGCAAACCCAATGGATCCCTCACAGCCTCAACCACCCCCGCAGACCCAACAGGGCCCTAATCACGTAAGTTAGTTCTCCATTTGAGGAGAAAGAATTGCATATTTAATGTGAAAAAGAATAGGAATGAGCTTTGAATTAAGACAAGCACCACTGAATAATATTGCTTTTTATATCTCTACCATTTCTTAAACTCTTTTTTTTACATTTAATATGAAAGATAATGTTCAAATCAACTATCCTAGTATACAACCACAAATTAAAAGAACTAAAAGAAGTTTCAGGAAAATTCCATCTTAAAAACAAAGAATCGGTATTAATGTTAGTATGTGTAATAGATGATCTTTTACTGTGCAAGCCTGCTAATACATATGATACATTTATACGGCAGCTCTGTAGCTCAGGGATTTTAAACAATAAAGTCACATATACAATTTTTATCATATTCTCTTTCATTGGCAGGTGATGCCTTATGTAGTCTCCTTCAAAATGCCTCAAGAGCAAGCACAGGTAACTGAAAAGCATGTTGGTATTCATAGAGAAAGATGGCCACAGACACCCTCCAGAAGTCTTTCCTCTGTGTTTCTAGCTCTGAATCCTACGGCAAGGCTTAAAACTAAAAATAAAGATAAATCTATACAGTCATGTCATTGTCTGGATGCCACAACATCAGGCTGACATCGGTTTGTAGATGCAGGATTAGCTTTTTATGAACAGGCAGCCAAGGAGGGTCTCCAGGAAAAACACATGAAACTGATAGTATATGTTATGATATAGAGATAAGAAACATTTATCTATGTAATTTTGGTAGTTATAAAATTCTGCTAAAAACATTTCCAGTTTCTTGTATACAGTGTTTCCAATTTAATTACATATTATAATCAAATGATGATGATTTTCATTAAATAAGAAAATCTTGAAAAATTAAGGCAAACTAATAAAATTGTGTTAATAAGGAAAATGACTAATATCAAGATAATTTATACTATTTTAGGCTCAAAGAAGCAAGGATATAGATATGGTATTCAACAGCAGATTATTGACCTTTTCATTAAAAAATCACACCAGTTAGCTTTACTGTAATCCTAATCACATAATGTTGTCTCATTCTCATCACCAAACAAGTTACTTCTAGATATGGCCATAAGCATTTAAGGAGTTATATGTATGAAAAATAGAATCACTTCACTTTAAGAAGCAGGAAACTTAGCCTTAATAAGATTAAATTTATAATCATAATGAAGAAAATAGCTAAGCTGGAATATAAGTCTCAACCCTTTTTTTTTTAACCACTAAACCAGTGACTCTCTACCTTGGCTTAACATCTTAATCTCTTTGGTAATGTTGGAAATTACAAATGCTTGTACCCTACTCTGAGTCTAATGAATCAAAACCCCGTGAGTCGATGACAACTACGATCATCTTCTAAAATGCTCAATAGGTGATTTTTGCTCTTAGCCAGGATTAAGAACCACTGCACAATATCCACCCCCTTAACCAAGTTGGTCTTTATTTTTTATCTCTTGAGTCTAATATAATCTCTTACATAATGATACAAACAAAAACTGCAATGTAAATACAGTGATCCTCATTTTCTATAAAGACTTGGGTATGTAAATACTTGCAGGCATTTATTAGGGAGCCAATGCATGATAATAAGACTGGTAAAGTTGCAGATGATTTTGTTACTTGTCTATTTCTTGATTTTCCTAATATTCTAAAATGCTTATGGATTACTTTAGTAAAGTATAAATCATTAATTTTTAATAACTTTAAAAGAATGAATGCATTTTTAAAAATTCATTATGCTGGGAATTCTAATGCCGTGTCTTACAGGTAATGATCCTGAAAACTATAGGTAAAATGCTACATAGGCTATAGAGGCTCTTAGGTATTTACAGTGACTTTCATATACAATTTCCAATATGTTTCTTAAGGCAAGAAAAAAAACTCCTGTTATTTAGTTGGACCCACTATTGTCTAAACTGTTTGATCAAGTAAACTTAAAAACAAAGTCCTATATCAGATGGGATACAGTTTAAAGTTTGGGAAGGGTTACTTTATCCCATTCTTTCGCTCATGTTTAAAAGTGTAAAACTGCTAGATATAAAACAGCTTTCAAATAGTCTTGGCATTAGAAGTTCAAAAGTGAGGATGCTGATCTAATGAAATCACTTGTGTCCTGTCTGTTTATACATAGATGCTTCAGTACTATCCGGTTTATATGCTCCTACCCTGGGAACAACCTCAACAGACAGTCACACAGTCACCTCCACAAACAGGGCAACAGAAATTTGAGGAGCAGGTACTGCAAGTGTTTGATTTGTTCTATCTGAGAATAGAGAGAATAAGAGCATCCGGGAAAAGAATTTCTGAGTATGGCTAGGGCAAATACTCAACAACTTGACCTCGTAGACATAAAAGAGGATATAGATTTTCTTCTTTTTTATCATTGTGTTTATTAACTTGGTAATGCTCCAAAGGTGGATTTTAAACAAAATGAAGTCGGTGAATGGGCTTCAATAAAATCAGAAGCAAAAAAGCTTCTGAAAATGAAGTTTCATCACATTAAAATCTATCATCCTCCTCCTTTACACAGACATACATACACACACACACACATACACACACACATATGCAGTTGTTATTCAAAAAATAAAAAGTAAAAGAATAACTAGCTACCTTAATGAATACTGCTTTGATCACTACATCCTGTGATACAATTAGATACGCCTGTATTGACTTCTCTTTTTTTGTTTTTTTTTTTGTTTTTTATTTGATAAATGTATTGACTTCTATGAACTTAAGAAAATTTAGAGTTATAACTCAGGTGGCAAGTACATAACTACCATTCATACAGTTCCAGTGAAAACTCTTTTTTAAAATCTATTGACATTCTAAAATCTGGCATTGAAAATGAGAGAAAATTGAAAATTAAGTTTGAAATAATTAGTAGTACTTTTATATTTTTGCCAGTTACTATAAAGAGAGAGTATTTTATCCTAGAAATGTCATGGAATTAAAGAGTTCTTAGTAAATTAATAATTAATTTTTACTACCAGGAACATATAAACTTTTTGAAAATCATTTTATTAATATCAAATATATTATTTCAAATAATCATCACAATCTATAACAAAAATCATCAGACAAAATCTAATACATTTTTCAAAAACCTTACAGGTACCAGTCTATACTCAATTTGGATACATTCCACAACAAGCAGAACCTGTAAGTAAATTCATAATTTTTGTTTTAACAACTCTTTGAAACTATTTGCTTCATTGTCATTTTAACCTAAAAATGCATCTCAGTCAAAGACGACCAAGAAATCACCTCTCATTGGACACAGTTGGATGTAGCTACTCATTACAATGAGGAGACTGTACATTTGAGAGACAATGGGGTGTTTTGGCAGAAAGATATTAGGACGACTCCTCATAGGGTCTGGGCTTGTGATGTGTGATGTTGGAAGGCCTCAGAGCTATGGTAGCTCATGCTAGGTTGAATATTCCTAAGAAGTGTAGGTAGTTCCCTGATTGAGCATTGCAAGCATTGCTACTTAGAAGGCAGGGAAAGTGGGCAAAGCAAAGGCTATGCCTGTAAAGAAGCAACTTGTATTAAGATGTGATGCTTGGTACTTTCGTGACTTAGACAGTGACCTTGCTTTAGACAAAATTATGAAGTTGTTATGCTTTTTCCTAACCTTGGTTAGACACTGGTGTCCTGTTGGGTAGATTGCTTATGCTCAATGGATCAACACCAAGGCCTCACAAAGAGGGTTAGGAAAAAGAGATTCCAAAACTAAGGCAGAATTTGGTATCTAGCCAGCTCTGTAATGTCAGGAATTACATTTCTCTTTCTCAAATCCGAGCTATTATTTCTGTTGTTTAAAAAAAAATCATTAGGGCCTGCACTGTGGCATACTAAGCAAAGCCTCTGCCTGTGGCACCGGCATCCCATATGGGCACCTGTTAGGATCCCCACTACTCCTCTTCCAATCCAGTTCTCCGCTAATGGCCAGGGAAAGCAGTGAAAGATGGCCCAAGTTCTTAGGCCCCAGCAACCTTGTAGGGGACCCAGAAGAAACTCCTGGCTCCTGGTTTCAGATCACCCCAAATCCAGCTACTGTGGCCACTGGGGAATGAACCAGTGGATGAAAGACCTTTCTCTGCATCTCCCTCTTTCTCACTCTATAACTCTGCCTCTCAAATAAATAAATAAAATCTAAAAATAATATTTAAGACACCAGTGTTGTGGTTTAATGAATTAAGCTGCCACCTACAATGCCAGCGTCCCATATGAGCACTAGTTCTAGTCCCAGCTGCTCCACTTCTGACCCAGCTCCTTACTAATGTGCCTTGGAAAGCAGTGGCAAATGGCCCAAGTAGTTGGGGCCCTACCAGCCAAGTGGGAGAACCATATGGAGTTCTAGGATCCTGCTTCAGGACAGCACAGCTACAGCCATTGCAGCCTTTTGTGGGGAGTGAACCAGAGGATGGAAGATATCTCAGATTCTCTCTCTGTGTGTGTGTGTGTGTGTGTGTATGTGTCTTTCCCTCTCTCTGTAACTCTACCTTTCAAATAAATAAAAAAGTTTTTAAAAAAGAAAATAGCTAAAGAATTTGGGAATGTTCAACTTCTTAGGAGGGCAAAAGGAGCACATTTTTATATATCCCTAATTTAGAATTTTTAATGTTTAAAATGTTTAAAACTTTTTGCTTTTTCAGGATACACCAGGGGGACAGCAGCAAGCTTCTTTGGATCCTCTTTTAGGCACAGCTCCTGGAATTGCTATACTGGTAAGATTCCTCACAACATTGTCACAACATTTTACTAGCCATTAGAGATCAACAACTGACCTCTTATAAGCTCCTGAATTAATGTTCACTTTAATGTAAACTTTATTATGATTCCATCAACAATCATTACTTCTCCCTTCTGTATCTATTGCTACTCAAGATTTGGTTCACTCAATTCCTCAGATATTTGTTGGAGGACTGCTCAATGCCATATACTCTGCTATGTACTCTCATTTAAAGCCAAGTGTTAGGAGACAACCAGGTTTCCTGGAAAACCACCATACCCTTTCTGAAAAACTGCTTATGATCTACAAAACCATAAAAGCACTTACTTCTGGAATACAATGCTTGCTTTGCCTCTCAATCCTGTTGATTTTCTGTCTTCCCAAACATGACCCCCAACTGAGCCTGTAACACTTTGTTTTCATTCTCATTCTCTATAGCCAGCAGGAGGAGTGATACCATATTTACAAAAAGAAGTGATAAACTTTAGGCATGACAGTGCAGCAGTTTTCATGCCTTCAGCTTCACCAAAACCCAGCACAGCCAATGTTTTCACTTCTGCTATACACCCAAGTCTTGCCCCTGAGCTCCCGGAAGAGAAGGTAGAGTAATTAAAGATTTGTTTTATGTAAGAAATTGTTGTCTAATAGAAAATATAGAAGTAAAGTTAGTGCTTAATTTATAGTTTTGGTCATTTAAATATTGATACAGCTACTGATATATTAGAATTTATCATCTTAACCCTGAATAAGGTAGCCAACAATTATTTAATATAATAAATTAATAATAGAATATAATTTTAATTTAATAAGAACTTCTTATAAATATCCTTTCTTCACTAGGCCAAGACTGATAGCCTAAGGGAACCATAAGATGTCCTAATCATTCAGAGTTTTTGGTAGGTACTCAAAATAGTCAAGCATTAATCATCATTAAAATTCTTTTTTTTTTTTCAAAGATTTATTTATTTTACTTGAAAGTCAGAGTTACACAGAGAGAGGAGAGGCAGAGAGAGAGAGAGAATGAGGTCTTCCATCCAATGTTTCACTCCCCAATTGGCCACAACGGCCAAAGCTGCACCCATCCAAAGCCAGGAGCCAGGAGCTTCCTCCAGGTCTCCCACATGGGTGGCAGGGCCCCAAGGACCTGGGCCATCTTCTACTGCTTTCCCAGGCCATAGCAGAGAGCTGGGTGGGAAGCAAGGCAGCCGGGTTTCTAACCAGTGCCCATATGGGATGCTGGCGGCTTCAGGTCAAGGCGTTAACCTACTGTGCCATAGCGCTGTCCCGCATCATGCAAATGCTTTAAAAAAGCTGTCAGAAGAACTAACGAAGGGATCCTTATCAAATGATTTTGAGAAAATAAAGTCAGTGTTTATATATATCAACATTACAAGGAAATTTCAAATTCAATGTCTTTTATATCCAGGATAACTTTGAACCTGGCTTCACAGGCTTGGTTGGCCATGAACAGACAGTAAAGTTTGAGAAAAGGGTTAGCACCAAAAAATAAAAATACATACTAAAAAGCAAGCAGTATGGCCTGTAAGGCAACTAAAAGACAAAAGTTTGTGAAATCTCCTCCCTGCTGCCTATAAGTCTCTTCTGATCCCTCCTTCTGTGAAAAAGAATATCTGACATTCTGCAGATGAACATATCTGTAAAAATACAAGCAGGAGTCAATAGTATCAGGACCTCTTTAGAGAAGTCTCCTTCTTAAAGTACTATTTTGTTTGATGCAAGTTGATTCAAATTATATGATCAGAAAACTAGAGATTTCAGTATATTGTGTCCTTGGCTGTATGTGGAATCAACGCCAGTGAGATCATTTCTTTAATAAACAATTGACAAATATCTAGAAAAGTTAATACAAATATAGCTTACTGGTATTAAAATGCTCTTCTATCTTATTTTTCAGGGAAAAAGATGTGGCAGTGATCTGGATATCATTTTAGGCTACTTGCTTCCTCAGTGCTAACCTCAGTTCCTTGATACAAAATATCTCGACTCTTCTTGAATTTGCAAATGACATTTAACAGTTAACTATGGCATAGAATCATAATGCAATTATGTAATTAGTCTTAATTTGCAAAGTTGCATATCTTTTCAAATAGTCTATCATTATATAATCTAGAATTTAATAACACTGATAATAAAGCTAATACCAGTACATCAATTGGTTAATGTTGTTCATAGAATCTGCTTCTGCAAAGCAATGCCATCCATGAGAATAAAAATACACTGTCATTGGACTTATGATGTGTGTGGTGATTGGGACTGAGGAACTAAAATGTATGCCTTTGACATATCTCATTATTCCCCCCAGGCCCTTTAAGTCAACATTCCTCCAATGCATTCTCTTCAAAAATCAAAATTATGTGGTAATGGACATTGTGGAGTGATTACTACCAATATGATACAGTTACACTGACCCAAAGGATAGGTCATGCTGATTTATGATGGTTTGGAGAAGCAGCCCCGTGCATACAGAAAGCATCGTTTTGAATTTCATCAGATCTGGCTTTCAATCTGGCTTTCAACCTTCAGGAAGATAGTTATCTTGTCTGAGTCTCAGTTTACTCAGGAGTCAATTAGAGATAGTAATACCTGCCTATTAGAATTTCTGAAAGGACTCCATGAAATAATACATGAGAGGTGCTTGGCTTATACAAAGTATTTAAAGAATGTTGATTTTTCTCTCACGTGTGAATATGAAAGCATTTCAAATTTATTTTCCCACTTTGAAACTTCAGGTGAAACTCTGAGAACACTGGGATTCAGTACACTTTACATATTTGCTTGTAGATGTGTATTGATATATGTGAGTGTGTGTGTATGCATGCAGTGAAAAACGAATGAGTGAGCTAGTGAATTAATGGATATGTATTAGATAGTTTCAAACAAATTTGGTGAGTCTTCCAGACTTTACAGTTGATCAAAATTAATATAATCTTACCTGTTACAGCATTTACAATGGAATGAAACTGGAATCTGCTGCTTGTCTACATGGAAGAGTAACATAGTAATCACCTATTCTGCCTTTGTTTTATTCTATTCTTTTTCCCCTATATTAAATGAATAAATATCACCCTGGGTACTTTATCAATCTATTTTTCTGGGATGTAACAAGGGAGCCAAACACCAAGATGTTTGATAAAACTCAGGTACCCAGCTGCTATGAATATTGTATCCCAAATTATAATAGTTCATGGGATCATTGAAAAAATACATGAAGTAATTCATACTATATTCTTTTTTAAATGGTTTATTTTATTTGTTTGAAAGGCAGAGTTACAGAGAGAGACAGAGAGAGAGAGAGAGAGAGAGAGAGAGGTTTTCCATCCAATGGTTCACTCCCTAAATGGCTTCATGGCCAGAGCTGGGCCAATCCAAAGCCAGGAGCCAGGAGCCAGGAGCTTCTTCCAGGTCTCCCATATGGGTGCAAGGGCCCAAGCACTTGAGCCATCCTCTACCACTTTTCCAGGCACATTAGCAGGGATCTGGATCAGGAGTGGAGCTTCTGGGACTCAAACAAGCACCTATGTGGGATGGCAGCTCTTCAGGCAGTTGCAGAAAACACTGGCACTTCATTTTAGACTCTTAAGTATCCTGTGATACATAAAGTAGTCAACTCTTCTGTTCAAGGATGAGGAAAAAGGGTATGACAGAGACCGAGAAGAAAAGATGCACACAGAAGTGCTATTCTGTTAAGAAAG